TCCACAATTTCTTTATTATATAAAAAATCAGGATGTTACAATTCTCCCCTCCTTTTAGAAATTTTGTCCTCAAAATTTAATAGATAAGCATAGAAACTATGTACCTAAGCAAATAAATGTGGATAATCTCGCCTCATACTCTCCTCGGTTTCCCAAGTAGCATCACCTAGGGCTCCACCCTTCCAAATCACCTTCACGAGTCGGATGGTCTTATTGCGCAGTTGTTTGTCCTTAAAGTCCTCAATTCGCTCCGGTTCGGATCTAAAGGTCAAATTCTCCCTCAATTCTACTTCTTCAGGTTCAATAACATGGGAGGGATCCGGGTTGTACTTCTTCAACTGTGATACGTGAAACACATTATGGATACCTGCAATCTGTGGAGGTAATGCAACTCTATATGCAGCAGATCCAATTCGCTCCAAGATCTCATACGGGCCCATAAATCTAGGTGTCAACTTCTTTGCCTTAATGGATCTACCAATGCCTGTCATCGGAGAAACCTTCAAAAATACATGATCTCCTACTTCAAACTCTAACGGCCGTCTCTCTTATCAGCATAGCTCTTCTGTCGGCTCTGAGCTGTTAGCAATTTTTGCTTAATCATTGCAATCTTCTGGGTGGTCTGCTCTACAATTTCTGGACCAATGATACTCCTCTCACTTAATTCTGTCCAACACAAAGGCGATCTACACTTCCTTCCATACAAGGCCTCATAAGGCGCCATCCCAATACTAGAATGATAGCTGTTATTATAAGCAAATTCAGCTAATGGCAAATGATTATCCCAACTACCTGGTAGTTCAATGGCACAAGCTCTCAACATGTCCTCCAAAGTCTGGATCGTCCTCTCTGTTTGTCCATCTGTTTGGGGGTGGTATGCGGTGCTAAAACTCAGTCTGGTACCCATAGCTTCTGTAGCGCACCCCAAAAGTTTGAAGTGAACCTTGGGTCACGATCTGACACAATTCTAGAGGGTATACCATGAAGTCTAACTATCTCCTTAATGTATATCTCAGCAAATTTCTCTAATGTAGAGGTAAACTTGATCGCCAAAAAGTGAGCTGATTTGGTGAGTCGGTCTACTATCACCCAAATAGCATCCTTACTCGAGGGTGTTCTTGGCAGTCCAGTGATGAAATCCATGGAAATATCATCCCATTTCCACTTTGGAATATCTAACGGTTGCAGTGTTCCAGCTGGCTTCTGATGTTCTATCTTTATCTTCTGACACGTTAAACATCTAGAAACAAATTCAGTTACATCTTTCTTCATTCCTGGCCACCACCAACCTCGCTTCAAATCATGGTACATTTTAGTTATACCGGGATGAATTGTATATTTGCTCCTATGAGCTTCTTCTAAAAGGATATTCCTCAATCTTGGATCATTAGGTACACAAACTCTACCTTTATACTTCATCACTGTGTCCTCAGAGATGGTAAAATTTGGGGCCTTACCTACCACTATCTCCTTCCTTATATTCCTTAAGTAGTCATCACTCTGCTGTGAGACTCTGAGATCTTCCCAGAATTTGCTCTCAAAGTCTGCTACCTGGAGTGCGGCCATTTGATGTTCAATCACATCTACTGGAACATCATGAAAACTGTTCCACAAATGATATTCATGAACCATCAAATGTGCAGCATGAATAGTCTTTCTACTTAAGGCGTCAGCTACCACGTTAGCCTTACCCGGATGGTAATGTAATTCAAAGTCATAATCCTTCAGAAATTCCATCCATCGTCGCTGCCTCATATTAAGCTCTTTTTGATCAAATAAATACTTCAGGCTCTTATGGTCACTGAAGATTTGAAACTTAGATCCATACAAGTAGTGTCTCCATATCTTCAGAGCAAACACAACTGCAGCTAACTCCAAATCATGAGTAGGGTAATTTTCCTCGTGTGGTCTCAACTGTCTGGAGGAATAGGCAACCACTCGGTCATTTTGCATCAAAACACATCCTAAACCCTTTAAAGAAGCATCAGTGTACAGAGTGTACGGCACCACAGGGTCAGGAATAGTCAATACTGGAGTAGTGGTTAACCTCTTTTTCAATTCTTGGAAAGCAGCTTCACATTTGTCAGTCCAAATAAATGGGGCATCCTTCTTAGTCAGCTTAGTTAAGGGCATCGCAATTTGCGAAAATCCCTTAATAAAGCGACGATAATAACCTGCTAAACCTAAAAAGCTTCGTATCTCTGTAACAGATTTTGGCTGTTCCCACTTCATCACTGCATCAATCTTGCTAGGATCCACCGCAACTCCATCTCTGGACACAACATGGCCCAAAAACTTTACTTCTTGGAGCCAAAATTCACACTTGTTTAATTTGGCATAAAGCTTATGTTCCCTCAAAACTTGCAAGACGATTCTTAAATGTTCACCATGAGCCTCCTCATCCTTTGAATAAATAAGAATGTCATCAATAAACACTACTACAAACTTATCTAAATAGGGTCGAAAGATCCTATTCATGTAATCCATGAATACCGCAGGAGCATTCGTAAGTCCAAACGGCATCACCATGAATTCATAATGCCCATATCTCGTCCGAAATGCTGTCTTAGGTATATCCTCTGCTCTCACTCTCAATTGGTGGTACCCTGACCTTAAGTCAATCTTTGAGAAAACTGCGGATCCCACAAGCTGATCCAGCAAATCATCGATTCTCGGAAGTGGATATTTGTTCTTGATGGTTACTTTGTTCAATTGTCTATAATCAATGCACAATCGGAGGCTTCCGTCCTTCTTCTTTACAAAAAGGACTGGAGATCCCCAAGGTGAAACACTCGGTCTGATGAAACCCTTCTCAAGTAGCTCTTCAATTTGCTTTTTCAGTTCCGCTAACTCTGAAGGGGACATCCGATAAGGAGCCTTAGAAATTGGCCCTGTACCGGGTACCAATTCAATTGAGAACTCTACCTCGCGCTTTGGGGGTAAACCGGAGACTTCGTCTGGAAATACATCCGCAAATTCTTTGACAATTGGGATATTCTTCACGCCTTCATCAATCTCAGCTTGGATAGAGAAGAAAACCATGTAGGCCTGGCAACCCTTCTTCATACATCTATCAACTTGCGCCGCCGACAAGAAAACATGATCTTGAGTCTCGACTGGGGTCACCGACAAAGAAGATAAAGACACACTCCTCTCTCTACAATCTAGGATAGCACCATTTGCAGCCATCCAATTCATTCCCACAATTACATCCATACCTCTCAGTGGTAGGATAATTAAGTCCATAGTTGTTTTCCTATTTTTAAACTCGACTACTAGGTTAAGGCATGCCTTAGCAGTCCTTACAGATTCTCCCGCAGGAGTAGACACATTCATATCAAAAGGTAAAATACACACAGGCAAATCAAGGTCTTTACACAAGTTTCAGAAATAAAAGAGTGTGTAGCACCCGAATCAAATAGTGCAACAATATCATGATGAAGGATTTTGATGTTACCTCTAATGGCATCTGGGGAGTTCATGGTGTCCTGAGTAAGAGCAAACACACGGCCAGAGACAGTAGGATGTTGGGAAGGGTTCTTCATATTTGAGCCCTGGTTGTCCCCACAAAACTTTGCAATGTGACAGACCCAGCACTGTCCGAAATGACGACGCCCGCATTTAGTGCACTGTTGAGAGCTCGCTGTACTCGGGGCAGGGGTAGATACTGTTGGGCTCCTCTGTGACCCGTGATAACTACTATGATAGCTCCTCTGTCCTTGGCCCCTTTGAAATGGACCCTTCTGCCTTCCTTGGTTCCATGAGCTACTCGAACCCTGATGGTTTTTCTTCATAATGCCTCCGGTGGGTCGAGGGTAGGTTGGGGGTCTACTATATGAATAACCCCTCTTCTCTCTCTCAACCTCCTTCTTACTGCGAGCTACTACTTGTAGTTTTATGCACATTTCATCATAATCTCGGATATCTAGATGAGCCAATTGTTCCCTCAATTCTGGTCTAGCCTTCTCCAATAAGCGCTTAGCCTTCCATTCGGAATCATCCCTATACTGCAGGTACGTGGAGTATCTAGATAACTCCTGAAACTTAGCAATGAATGTGTCCTCATCGAGGTTCCCTTGCTTAAAGGCATGGAATTCCGCTTCCTTCTCAGACCTTAACTCTGATGGAAAGTAATGCCTGAATAATTTTTCCTTGAATTCCTCCCAGGTGAGTGTAGAATCATCCCTGGGCCCTGCTGTCTCCCACCAATCTCTTGCTCCTTTCACTAGGAGCACTAATGCTACTTGTACTTTTTGATTGCTGGTGCATGTGACTACTCGAAAGATGGATTCGAGTCTCTTCACCCATTCCTCTACCACGGATGGTTTAAGGTTACCATCAAACGTAGGAGGGTTAAACTTCCTAACAGTTTCCCACACATCAGTAATGGTCGGTGGGGCTCTCTGTTCCTCCTGCCTAATTTCCTTCCTTCTAGACTCATGATCTCTCGGAGTGGCAGGATGTGAGGAACTGCCTTCCCCCACATGACTCTCAACATGAGCCCTATCTCCATTTTCAGTTACCTTTTGCCTCTTTAGCTCCGTCAACTCTTGTTCGTATCCTTGAACCTTGTCTGTTAATGTTTTTACAAGCATTCTTAATTCCGCCAAGTCAGGCTCCTCATTTGGCAGTGGCGGTGGTAGGTGCTCATGTTGGAATCCTGAGTTACCACGAGTAACAGGCATTTTCTCTCCCCTCCTAAAGGATACAAGATATAAATAATAAAATTAGCCTAGCTATATCATGGCCATACAATGAGAAGCACCATAACAATGTATATTGCCAACCGACTATATGCTCTGATACCAATATGTAACACCCTCAAATTTACAAACCGATTTTTCGCAAATTATTAATTTAAGAAATCATTTTTTTTTCATTGAACCCTTATCATACCCTTATCATGGTAGAAAAATTTCTACCATGATACATCCAAGACAATATACCACAGGTCTTAAAATATCTCAAAAAGCAATTAGAACCATGAGGGACAGACATGATCCTCATAGCATGTTATTTAAATTAGGTCATGAATCAAAAGGGACAGACATAATCCTCTTGGACATATAAATGCATTTAATAAAAAGGATTAGAGTTTACATGCTCCATAGACAAGATATGTCCTAAGTTGGCACAAGATACATTGTATAATCCAAAATAAGAGGCAACGTAAAAGATGGTGTCTCATACACCATAATTACACCTCTGGTGCTTTCTCGGCCGGATTCGCTCCTGTAAAAATATTAACCACGGGGAATGAGACTTAAAAGTCCCAGTAACCAAAAATTAATATGTAATGATGCATGCGGATGTAACTAATCATGCGATTGCTAAGTGGGCACACAAAACATTTAACCGAACAATATTTTCAAACAAACCGAACAAGTATTTAATTGCATGACTGCACCTTATATCCTCCTTTACCATGCTCGGACGCCAAATCACCCGGCCAAAGGTGAGTTGGACCAAGCGACACGCCACTCATTGGGTCCAATGAGGGCTTACCACGTGGTAATAATTAACCGAACAGAAATTCCCATTAACACCATACATTAAAATACCCTGACAAGTCATGCATCATTCAAATATCCAAACAGGAATATATCCGAACAATAATATCTCATCATGATAAACAAAAATAAATTTTTAACCCACTTGGCAATAATTTCAAACAAGTATATACAGTATTTATTTTCAATAATTCATAATTTTTCCAAACAACAAAACAACACATAACCATTCACAAACACACTCATCACAACACATTAATAATGGTTACCTTGTGTCTTGAATAACAAGTTCCCCTTCACAACTCCTTTTTCACCACTATCTTTGTCAATATAATCTACATAATTATTTCACAATACTATATATTAATTTTACATTAAAATAAATAACTCTAATTTAAATAGTTAGAAAGTCTTAGATCTATAATCCATATTAATACTAATTTAAGATTTATGCCTCATTTAACTTCCCAAATTCTTTTTCTAAAATTCTCGTACCCTAATAAACTATTTTTTTTATCCTCAAATCACTTCTAGTATCACAATTTCATCCTTCTATATTCTAAAAATTCGTCCAAAAATAAATTAAAAATTTTAAAATTATCCTGAAGCCTCAAATCACCTTTCTATAACCTCAAAAATACCTATTCATACTTAAATAAATATTTAATAATCATAGGTTTATCCCTACGTCTCAGATTCCACATAAATTCAACCATATAGATCTAGATTTTAACTCAAAAATTCTTAAACATGAGTTTCAACCTTAAAAAAATATTCTATAATATTTTTATATCCCTAAGAATTTTAACCTATATTTTTAATCCATCATATCATCAGATTAACTATCCTATAGAAAAATCCTAATCAAAATATTTACTCAATCCTACAAAATAATCATATCACTAGAAAGCTAATATTATTTAAAAATAACTATAAAATTAATTTTGTAATTAAATAAATTTTTAAATGCTAATCTAAACAGGAAAGTTAGAACATACCTGAAGAAAAAGAAAATAATCCCCCCTTGTAAGAAAACGCCGAGCAACGTGAGAGGAAGAGAGAAAAATAATATAAAAATGGGATTGTGAGTCCCAAAATTATATTAAAAAAAACTATAGGTTTGAATTTAATTATTCAAACCTTTGGGCTAAAAGTTGCAATTTTCTCTAAATTGCATCTTAGCCTCTCATGCTTCCTAATGCACACACCCCCTCCTTTTATACATGAAGGCACCTCTTCTCTTCCCTCATCTAACCAATATGGGACTTAGAAACAATAACCTTTCACCCCCTTTTTTTGTTCCTTGTACCTTCTCTTTTTTTTTCAACACATACATAAAAAAAAATTATTTATGTATTATATCTTAACTAAATATTGCTTATGTGATTTTAAATTTAAATTTTTAAATTCATAATTAAATACCTAACCATAATATTATTTCTAAATAACCTCAAATAATATAAATTCCTATTATTATCATTTTTTTTCTCAAAATCTAAATTCCACAATTTCTTTATTATATAAAAAATCAGGATGTTACACAAGTCTACCGGTCTGTTAGGATGCCTCAGCTGCATACATCACTGCACTTCCACTTGACACCTATCGTTAATGATAAATGGCTCGTCTCACCGTGACCAATTAAACCGATCATAGGAATACCAGTTACAGTAGCTATTATCCAAAGAAGAGTCCTTCTAGTAGTATCAGCCATTTATCCCACTTTACTCCACATTTCATCAAGTAGTCATGCTAGAGACATAAATAGTCATAGATAATTATGAAATGATATCCTTCCGAATGGGACAAGAGAATTCTTAATATATATTTACTATTGCCTTGATTGATATAAATTTTATATAAAAGTCTTTAATTATTATTTTTTCTTTATTATTTACAGAATTCTAGCAAGGGAGGCGAATGGAATTGGAAATATAAATTGAACATTTAAATTTATTTTTATAAAAAATTAGCTTGAAAAAATAGAGATATTTAGTATAATCGAGCGTTTAAGCTTGTCCCTGCTGAACCCCTTAAAACCATGCTCGGGTGGCCCACTTAAATCTTTTTCTTATAAAAATAAAATATTTTTAATTTTTAAATTAAATTTAGAGTTTTAGAATATATGTCTATATTTTAAAATTACAATTTACATGACTTATTTTTAATTTTTCGACATTATATGGAAAGCATTTTCAGCCAAGTTTCTCGATTCTACGGTGTATTATGAGATTCTATTGGTTATTATCTGAAATAAAATTCCTGCAAAGTATTCTACTAAAACTCTCCCCTTAAAAGATTCATGGTATAATCCGTGTGCGCTCTTTAGATGGCCAGAGCAGGCGCCACTTGTACCGGCTTCTATTGATTGAACTTCCCTGCCCTTACCTGAATGCGTATCGAAACACTAAGAAAACACTTACCAGCAATTAAAAAAAAAAAAAACACTTTCATACTATTTCGTTGGACCGTTTTTCTTGAAAAAAAAAATAAACGAAAAATGATAATAATTTAATTCATGTCTTGTCATTCTATATTTTCTATGCGCATTAAAACACGTAAGGATGGCAAAATCATCTTAGATGTGTTAGGTCAACTCTGCATGAGATTTAAAAGCTCCAAATTTGAGATATGTAGATTTATACGAAATTCATCTTTTATTATATTTTCTCTATTCTGTTATTTCTTATAACATATAAATCTATTATTTCTTTCCTAAAAATGCAAAATTCACATAAATTCATAGATGTCAATTTTAAAGAATTTAAATCCCTCCATATAAATGCCAATCTCTAAATGGTAAAAAAAAGGGGGAAAAAAGAGTAATCAGCCATTAGCTCACGAAACGGTGGAGCCCTAATTCTTTCTTACTTAGCTCAAATCATTTACGAATCAAATTTTTATATTCATATATAAAAAGTTAGTATTTAGAAGTGGATGGAACCAATGTATAATTCTCCCTTTCAAGTGGAAAATAAATAAATAAATTACATTCAGGTCTCATATAAAAAATTTATTATTAAAAATTTCATAAAATTTATAAAATACTCTTAAATTCTAAATGTTGTGCATTTATAATTTGACTAAGTGCGCGTACCTTTAATTAAGTTGTAAATATATAAGATTTGGAATTTGATAAAATTTTGTGAATTTTATGGGATCTTTTGATAGTAATTTTTTTTTAAACCTAAATTTAATTTTTGTTATAAAAAATCTATTAATCAAGATAAATCAAGTGCAAACATTGCACAAGACAAAAAGAAAAAATCAACCGAGAGTAAATCCTTTGTCTGTCACAGCTTCTTGTGTCCATGCTCTCCGTGACTGGCGCGTGGACTCCATTACAGTTTTTGGAATATTTGAACTTTTGAAGTTTGAACCATCAAGTCAACGCACACTTTGTTGCCAACCCCACTGCTCACTGCTATTTCACACGCATCATCATTTATCATATCCAGGTCAACGGTGAATTGCAATTTTTCGTCCACATGGCCTGAACAATCAGTGCATCGCTTTATTTCACAAAATACAAAGTTTAAGATTAGTTTGATCCAAATATTAAAGCGAAATGAAAAATATCAACAGAGTTAGAGTATATATTTTTGATAAAATAATTTTTTTAGTCCCTATAACTTTTTTATTCATAATTTAATTTTTTGATTTCAATTCAATTCGATACAACTTATTTTTTATAATTTTCTATCATTTGCTCTTAAAAGATTCAATTGTTATAATCTTGACTCAGTTAAAATTTAATATTTAAATTCTCAATCAATGCTATTCAGTGCTTATAATTTTAATAATTTAAAACATGATTTCTCAAACTTCAAGACATAGCTCTAGTTCTTATAATTTTATATTATATAAGATGTATGAATCAACATTCTAAATGACTAAAATTTTAAGAAATAAGTTATAGTAAGTAAAAATTTAGAGATTATTTTTTCAATTAAGTCAAAATTGTAAAGGCTGAGTTATATTCAGAGAAAATAAAGGGATTGGATTTTAATTGAATTGACACTATTAGTATCAAATAATTATTTTTTTCATATTTTTTCCATCTGTGAAACATGCTCCTGTATGTGCCAGATATATTTTGTGTCGATAAACAAAACAAAGATAATTGCGATCGAGCAACAATGACAATAATATAATAATATTGCTCATCTCAACATGTGCACAATAAACAAAATAAAAGATGCTAATGAAATATCCAAAGGGGCCTTGTATTGAAAAGGAAAAAAAAAAATCTCAAAATTTCAGGGCGTTTGTTTTGAACGTTCTCATAAAAATAAAAAATAATAATTCATTTTGCAGCTCACGAAACTTTGAGAATTGCCGATTGACTGGGCTTAGTGTCAAATCAGTTAAACCCGTTGATTTTTCTCGATCGACGTTTACATTAATTAATATGTCTGGATCTTCAAATTATTTAGTTGATGCATCATCTCACATTGAACGTTAAGAAATGATTAATATGTCTACTTCGTCGAAATTCTTTAGTTGGTATGTATCTCGATCTCATATTTAGAATTTTATAATTATTTTATTTTTATTTTCTTAGTATTTCTCGTTTTTTATTATTTTTATTTTATTATAATTTATAATTTGATTGAATTAAATTCAATTGGATTGGTATTTATATTGTATTTGATATTTATTAAATTGAATATTTAATTTTTTTAATCCATTTATTTTTTATCATATTTTTTCAACATTAATATTAACAACAATGTTGGTGTATCAACCAAGTATACCAATCGTGAGCGAATTATAAGAAACTGTGAGTTTTCGGAAGGCCAGTAGAAGTCTCATTTTCAGTCATTCTCCTTGCGGTATTGCTGAATTATTTTGCGTCAGAAATGATTTGATTTGATTACCTTAATACCAAGCTATGCAGATATTACTCATTGTTTTTCTGAGGCAAAGTTACGTAGATATCTAATATAACAATTACTGTGTTGAAAATATATTTATTAAAATTATAAATGCAAACCTTTCCGAGCTGCAAACTGCTCCTACAGAAAAAGTTGAAAATTTTTATTTAGAAGTTAAGAATCTTTACACTCTTTCCACCCCTACAGAAAAAGTTGAAAAATTTTATTTAGAAGTTAAGAATCTTTATACTCTTTTCCACCCCTTATTGTAAAATACTTCTAGAAAAATTTTTTTTAAAATATAAAATAATTTGATAAAAATAAAATTTTATTACTGATATTTTTTAATATTATTCTTTTCATTATATTATCTATTTTTAATATTCTTTCATAAATAAAATATTAAATAAAGTATTTTCTTAAGTTGCTATTTTTGTTTTAAAATAAAGTTGCAAAGCGT